ATTCGGGCATGCCCAGCACCAACGCAACCGCGGAGCGCCATCCTGCCTTCTTCTCGAAAGGGTTCTTCTCACTCATGAACGCTGCAGACAAGTCTCGCAAGGCCTCAGGACCCGTGGACGGTGGAATGACACATGAACACGACACACATTAATCATTACCTTTCCACAAACCAGCAACCAGCCAATCAGCTAATGAGGGGTTTGGTTCTTGATGCGGTGCAATATGTCTCGAGCTGCGAGCTTGCCAGCCCTCGATAGGACGTTCTACAATCTTCATGAATGTGAAGCCGCACAGCCACATTTGAAAGGATTCACTGCCAATTTCATCGACACGCTTGGTCCCATTGGCAAGCTCTTCCACCTGCCAAAGATTCGGAGACTGCTTTGACGCAATAACTGCGTGTTACACAACTACACACCCACGATGCGGCACTGCAGCACCGACCTATCTCTCTCGCTCTCTTTACTTTCTCTATCGTTCTCTTTTTCTCTCTTTCTCTCTCTCTTGGTGTTCTTCCTTTGTTTTTGATTCTGGCTTTGTTTACAAGAATGACATGAGCCGACAAACCCAGTGGTCTGAGTCTGAGTCTGAGCCACGAAAGGACGGAGAGGCTCTTCTCGATCGTCCGAAGAAGGTCCAGGCCAAGCAGGATCCAAGAATCGCAGGCTTTGTTGGTGCTCCGACCCTGGCGAGCGCTCATCGAACATCTTCAATGCTGTCTTCGCCGCCTTCATGACCTGACTGGGATGAGGATGCGCGAGAGCACAAAGCAGGTGAGGCGGTTGGCCCCAATGAGCTAGCTTCAGTGTCAATTCAACTTCGATCTTGGAACGTGCGTGGTCCCGGTCGTGTCTCAAGCTGGTTCGCTCCGACAAAGGCAGGCCAGCTAGGTGACTCAGCACATTTTGCTGCGACATCCAGAGAATTCTACGGAACAGCCGGAGACCGTCTCCGGCCGCAAGTTCCGGCGCACGACAACATTGCAACTCGCAAGTAGGTGGTTTCGGAAGTTTGTACCTCTCTCCTTGTGATAAGCAAGGCGATGTTCCTCGTGACAAGGACAGCCTTCACTCCATCGCCCCAGGAATTCCGCTTGGAATCCTATCTCGTGGATGACTCTGGCCGTGCTCCAAAAAACGGGGTTGTCGATGACCATTTGGATAGCGTCAGCATCCTCTCCGAAGTCGTCTATGGTGTCGGCCAACACGGGGCGAGTGTCGGGATTGCGGCGGTCGCGTTGAACGAACTTTGTCTTGTCGAAGTAACGCCGCAAAATTGGCTCAATGAACAACATGTGATGGCAACGAGGTGTGAGGACAGAGGGGGCAGGATTAAAGGTTCCCGTACTCGGCACTGGCAGCCAGTAGCTGTAAGCCTAACTACGGAACATGTGCCGGTTTCCCCCACCTCCCCACCGTCATACGAGCAGGGATGCACGTAGATTTAAATCTTTCTCTTGCTAATGGTCCGAAGATCTTGCAAATACTTCTCCCAACTTGGACCGCACTTCAGGTAGGGTTGACAAATGTGTCGTTTCGGGCCAACCTACCGTACTTCCGGACCTCCCACGTAAAATCTAGGTATAGTCCAGCGTCTTCGAAAAGACGTGGCACAAGGCCTGTGCACATCATACACGAGAACCCAGGGCAAGGCCTACACCAACACTAAGAACCCACACCTTAGGGAAGGGAGGGAGGTGGCACAGCAAGTCCAAGTGGCCGCTCACCTGGCTTCAAAGCAATGCTGCGAAGGTTGGCACGAAAGTCTTTCAGCCGCAGCTGCGGCGATTCTGACAGTCTTGACCTCCCAGGCGGTCACCTCCTCAACTCTTGCATGCCACTGGGCCCGCAACGAACCCTGCAGTCTGCGTTCCATGCAGCGTCTAGCAGCGACATCCGCCGACTCGTTGAGAGCACGAAGAGTCGCAGCAGAGTGAGGCTCAGGCGGCGCCCACTTCAGCTGTTTCCCATGAGACGGGACCCACAAGAATGTACACGTGATGCCCTGGCGGGCCGACTGCAAAAAAGGTCAAAGGCAGCACGAGCCAGACCTGGCAAATCAGAAGAGTGGCCAGATTGACAAGCAGAAATCGCCGCAAGGCAGTCAGATACGACGAAAAGTTCGCGTTGCATGGAGAGCTTACCAGAAACTTCACAGCAGACAGTAGCAAGCCAAAGCAAAGCTTGCATCTCAGCTTTGAAAGCAGACTGGTCCTCATCACCCGTCCCTGCTGCAAAGCTGCTGTGCTCAGTCACATGCTGCCCGAAGACAATGGCTGACGCAGCGATGTCGTTGCGAGCACTGCCATCCGTGGCAGCGTACAGAAGCCCATCGGCTTTGAGCAACTCAGAAGCACCTTCCGACAGCTCCTGGAGGAAGTCGCTGAGATCAAGAGCAGGAGTCGGCGGCGGAAAGTCCCCCACCTCCTTCGCAAAGAGGCGCTCTTCGGCGCGATTTACTGGCAGCTCATGCCCCACGCGCAGGTCTTGCGTCATAGGGCAGGCCCACGTGAGGTGCGGCCTCGAAGGCCTGGACTCACCACAGAGGCAGAGCCAGCGTCGATGATCAGCAGGAAAGGCACCTCCGGCATTGAAATGCCAACACGAACCCCCAGAACCGAAGCTAGCAAGGTGTTGGGCTCGGCCACCAGTCTCAGACGCAGCAACGCCGTGCCCTTTGAAAAGGTACACACCATTACGGGGCGGGGCCGGTAGGTCCAGCCCAGTAGCACACTGCTCGTCGTCGCTCCTGTGGAAGGAGCGCCACAACCTGCCACACTTGTCAACGCACAAGGCCCTAAAGTGAGCACTCAGCCGACGATCAACTTCGCGAAAACTGTCATGCCCTAAGCGGAGGCAACGGCGTCGCCCGGAGCAGTCGCGCCGCACCACTGCGCCAGCTTCAGGCTCGTATGTCCACTTCAGGATCTGGAGCCATCGGGGAATCTCCGGCAGGAGCTCATTCCAAGGAGGAAAGGCTTCAGTTAGAGGAACTGTCTCCACCCAGTTGGGAGGCACTGCCAAAAAGCGAGCCAACGTGCGAAAGGCACTACGACACAGCATCATCTGCGGATGGAGCTTCCAACCCAGCTGCTCCCACACCAAGACTTTCGCACGATCGACGCCGAAACGATCATCGAAGAGGTGCAGGAGTTCGGTTTCCAGGGCATTCAGCTCGTCATCCGACGGAGCCGCAAGGGCCGAAGTCCAGGAAACCATGGGAACAACCAAGCTCTGCACGATATGCTTGCGATTGCGAACAGAACGAGAGCACCAGCGTAGCAATCGAAGGCGAAGCACTGCACGGCGAAGCACAAACTTGAGCAAAGACCAAGCTCCTCCGAAGGTGCAAGAAACACCCAGCATCTCAAGGTGATCACTGACGCTGAAGGAGTGTTTGTCAGCAAGGGCAGCCCACTTGAGCAAAGACCAAGCTCCTCCGAAGGTGCAAGAAACACCCAGCATCTCAAGGTGATCACTGACGCTGAAGGAGTGTTTGTCAGCAAGGGCAGCCCACTCCTCAGTCGCCTCACTTGGGTAGACCGCACACTTCTCAAGTGAAAGCTTGAAGTTGAAACACTCATCGAACTCGGCAGACCGGCATAGCACTGCGTCCAGGGCCTGAACAGGAGCACGGGCTCGAAGGAACAGCAAGCGGTCGTCCATGTAGTTGAGTCCCGAAACATGCTGATGGGCCCCATGGAGAACATACTTACACCACACGTGAGCAATTGCAGCAGCGAGGCACGGGCTGAAGGGGCAGCCTTGCGGAATGCCCTGGCTGGGCACAAACCGTTGACCGTCGTAGGCCCCCTCACACACAAAGGTCCGGCAGGACTGCTTGCAGAAAGTCAGCAGCAACTTGAGCAACTCCAAGGGAAATCGAAGGTGTTGAAGAACAGCACTTAAAGAATCCCGTTGGAGAGAATCGAAGAAGGCTTTAACGTCAAGTTGGACAAAGCCCTTAGACTTATTGCGAAAGGCAGCCTGGACTTGGGCAAGTGCAGCCTCAACAGAGGCTCCAGGAAGGCCCCCGGCATCATGGCCCGATTGCCACTCGCTAATCCACGGCCTCAGACGGCGCTGTAACACTTTGGCGCCAGCACGCCACAACACTTGGACAACGTCAACGGACGACTACCACCCTTAGGTTTGGGAATCAGCACCGTGGTGGCACAAGACCACCGCGTGGGCACTTGCCCTAGCTGCACGCATCTGTTCCACAGGTCTGCAGCACGTCTCCAAAACGGAAGCGGGAGCAACGCCAAAGCTTCTGGAGTCCACGAGTCAGGCCCAGCCGCGCGTCCTTTCATGGCTTGCACCGCTTGCTTCAAGTCAGTAGCATGCAGCACTAGGTCACATTGATGGACCTCCCAATGCTGCCAATGCTATTATATTGAGACCAAGACTTCCTGGCACGACACGACCTCTCGCAAATTACTAAGCTAAGCCAAGCTGCCACTTCATCTCAGTAAAGGCCGATAGCATGAGATTGTCACAAATATGCTTGGGTCCTTCAACTTCCATGGCATTGGGGTACCTTGCAGCGGACTGAAACCACATCCAGCGGAAAGGGTGGTTTCGGCCGACTCCCTCCATTTATCCGTGTCTCTACGCATGTGTATGTGTGTCGGCTGTAACTCTGAGCTTGGTTCTGATTTGGAACGAAGCCTCACAAGCGCAACCAGGTTTCAATCTGCCTGGGTCTGAGTCTGGAGTTGGAGAAGCAGGAATGTCGGCAGCTGCGCGAGCAGACATGGCCTGGCCGCAAGACTCGATGCTCTGACTGCGCTGCCGGCGTGTTAGTATTTTTCCTTCAGGATTGTGCAGCAAGCAAAAGTGACATAACTCAAACCAAATGCTTTGATCATGTGTCATGTGGTCAAGCTGTTGCACTGCAGCGGCCCAGCTGATGCCTCCACAGATGCCCGCACAGGCACAGCCTCACTGCATCACGATCGCCAGGCGCCCTTGCAACTGCCGACATTGCCTCCACAAGGCTACGGACAAAACGGACACACTCGGGCAGTCGAACACTCGGATCTGGCAAATCTGTCGTCAACATATGCCCGGGCCCCGCCCAAACATATCCCCCAGGCAGATCCCAGCCCAGCTGCCTCTGCCGCCTCCGCCGCCTCTGCCTCCGCGATCGCAATCGCCGGCACGCCTGGGAAAAGAACCGGGTTTGCCATTGATGCTGTTGTGACAGTGTTCACTCACACGGTGATACAGCTGGCTTCTTCCACGCAACTCCAAACTCCTACTCCTACTGTTGCTGCTTGGCCAAGCTAGGACAGCCAGAACAGCAATGTACTTCATCCATTCAACTCCATAGCCATTCGATTGTGGGTTTATCAGATTATCATCGCATCATCCTGACATTTCATGTGTGTTTTGTTTGGTAAATTCCTCGCGCCGAGCCTCGTGCTCCTCCTCTTCACAATTCACACCCCCTAGCTCGATAGTACCTTGTAATGCCAAGTCACCGTCGATAAAGATTCCGTCAGTGTCGTTTGCACTGGCCATGCGGTCGCTGGAAGATGATGCAGGCACTCCCTTCCGGTTGAAGGCATCTTTCAACTTGCTGCTATCCACATTCGCAGCGTCGCCGATCTGGAACTCTGCCCCTCCACTGAGCAGTACTCTCTGTATTCTGTGTTCTGTACTGGCGAGCTGCTGAACTACTGTCTGCCAAGCGGCAAGCGACAATGATGTTTTCTAGAGTTGATAGCTGACTATCTTCATCTTCTACAAGTGAGAATGTGCACAACGTGACCTTCCCCTTTAGCGGCACTGGTCATCTCCTTGCTGCGCCGGCCTTGGTCGCTGACGATGCTGGTGACCGACTTTCGATAGTAGTCGAAGTCTTCCTCTGCTACCTCGAGCTGAGCAGCGTGCAGCAAGGCTGCAACTTTGTTCGCGGCATGCCTGGCAAGCTCCAATGGGTGAGAATTCAAAATTGAATTATCTGTCAGCCTCGATCATGATCTGATAGCACTCGTCCACAATCAGGACATGCCTTTGAAATGCCTTCGACTCGGGACCCGACCCTTCCCTAGACAAACTGGCGGCAGCAGCCTAGTGCAGCAAACCGTGCGCAAGCCAATCCCAGCACCAGAGTGAATGTCAAGCTCGTCTCCAGTTCCAAGCTCCGAGTCCTCGTCGTCCAACGCCAGCACGTTCTCCGCACTCATGACGTCGAGCAGCTGCCTCCGCTTAGTCATGGCAGCAGTTCCGTGTTTGCCGCACCGGGTGGATGCTTCAATAAGCTTCCTAACTTTAGAGTTGGTGGCTGCACGTATCTGTATTCAACTTCAGCTCAGCACCAGGACAGGTAGGCCGTACACGGAAGCCGAGTACCCAGCTCCAGAGTCACTTCTTGACAAAGGATGAGGTCTTGTTGGACAGGCGAACTATCCAGACCTGAGACACTTGGCCGATGGATCCCGCCGGTTGGGCCGACCGACCCAAAGCCACAAGCCTCACCTACCCCTAGGCTACCCCGCGGCCCGTGACTAAACTCGGAAAGGACGTCCAACACTGCTGCATAGATCATAGGTCCACATCAGAGAACTTGACCCTGGGCCCGGGGCCCTTAGGCCGCAAGGCCTCCGAAATCTAAGCCGATGGCCTGGGTTGCCACAGAAACACTAAGTAAAGCGCAATGACAACGTGAACTTGCAGAGCGAGCGACACAATTGCACGAAGAACTGCTGCTTGTGCTCTCGGCGCAACTTCCATTGCTGTCTTCACAACAACATGTGCGCGAGATCAAGTTTCGTTTTGGCCCTGTGGATCGTTGCAGCACATGGCCCTTTCAACGCCTGCGTGTCTTCTGTAACTTCTGTATCTGCGGAACCACACACAAGAGCGACAGCCGCCTGGATTGCCCGACCGACCTCCTGACTACTTCATATCTGCGTACCCCTTGGATGACTGGAGTGGCCAGGAGCCAAAGCCCAGTAAGCTCCCTCACTCGCATAAACGAAGCAATAACTTCGAAACAATTACCAAACTCAGAATGGCCCAGGCACAGTTTCATGAAATTGAAAAGCTGCATCAAGGAAAAGGCAGGATGGCCAACTTTCATCCTGACGGCTGGAGCGAACGACAACTTCGTTTGCCCGCTTGCGGCAACGGGATTATCCCGATGAACCTACGAACCCTACACATCTAACTTCCGAACCGAACCATGAAGCAACAAAGCTTAGCAAGTGCAGGTTCGCGCTTGAGCGGCTGAGCCATGTCCGAGAAATTCGTAAAAACCTGGTCGTCCAGGACACGTTTGCTGCGGCAACGAGGCCACGCAAGCCACGAGTAAAGGCAGAAACCTGCAACAGACGTGATAATAGTCGAAAGTGTCGAGTATCAATTGTCAATTCCGCCAGTACAGTAATAAAGACCTGCTCGCGAAAAGCTTCCATCACTTCTTTTCCATCTGCGGTCCACGAGTCCATGTAATTATGCGACAGTGCACACACCGAGGCAGGCTTTCACGGCCTTGAGGTAAGAAAACGGTTGGAAAATACGGATTCCGATTTGTAACTCTGTAACCAATCACTCCTTTGCCCCTGGGCCGTGCCGCGTGGCTGCAGCTGCTGTTCATGAATTATGAATGGTCACAACATGTCGGAAGGATGGCGGCCAGCATAAGAAGCTGCCAATAAGACATCCCCAAGTGGTAATTTTGGGCATGGGCAAAAGACAATAATGGTGGGCCTTCCCCTTTGTACGGATCGTTGAGGCTTCTACATGAAACATGAAACCCTAAATCCTAACCCCTGAAACCCCAAACACCTATACCGGGCACCCTAAACCTTGCAAACCTTACCCCTCCGGGCCTCGGGGCTATGGGTTTAAGGGGTTAGGGTTTAGGTTTAAGCGGTTTAGGGTTTCGGGTTTATGGGTTTCTACCGCCTCTCACGTCGCTGTCGCTGGCGGCCTGTCCTCGATTACAAGACACTTTCACAGACAACTGTCCAACCCACACTCGCTCGGATTCACTCGGAATGTTTTCAGACCGAAGAACCCCTGGGCCCCTGGTTTGAAAAAACCCAAACCCCAGTTTCAACGATACTTAAAATCAAGACCGCTGTGGGAACCTCTTGAAAGCCGGAGCTTCCGCTTAAGCTGCACTTCTAAGGCAGAGCATTCAGAGCATTGGGCAGACACTCTCGGCATCAGGCCCATGCCACCACGAGTTCAGCGACGTGTCGATGAGGATGACCTGAGAAGTAGCGAAGAGGGCCGGGGGTTCCCGGGAATGCTGGTGCAGCCTAGGGTAACCTGAGAAGGTTAGGGCGACCCGACCCTGAACACGACCCCGTAACCCCACAGAGAACCCTGCCTGCGCGCTCACGGACACTACCTCGCTGCCTCGAAGCCCCCAAGCCTTCCAAACTCTGAAAAAAGCCCTGAAGCTTGGCCGCCCGCCCCGCCGACCCGTCCTGCACAGCCTTTGCAAAGCAAAGACAATCGGCAACCCGGGCTCGCACGCACAATGAAAAAACGACGCACTCGCTGGGTTCGGGGGTTCCAACTACCGGGGATGAACAAAGTTGAACAAAGGTTCGGACGCCTTAAAAGCTTAGCGGATTAGAGATTAGTTCAGGCCAGGCAGCTCGGACAGAGCCAAACGGGGATTGGGAAACCACGCCGGCCGTTCACTTTTGATGGCCCCAAGCGCCGCAAGTCCACAAAAGCATGCTGATACCGATATCCAGAGACTACACTTGATCATTGCCAAAAACGCTAAGTGGCAGAAGCTGACGAAACGGCAGATTGCACTGCGCTTGAGCGGCTTGATAGTAGCCAAAAGGTAGAGGAAGGCAGCTGCTCAGCACCAGCACTCTGCAAGTCGGCGATCCAGTGCAGCATGAGAAGCCTTGCCTTCTGCCTTCTGCTTCACCACGGAATCATGAAGCACGACGCCTCTTGGGCCTCGGCCTGGGAACCTCCGACTCCGCATCGCTGATGGATTCCAAATCCTTGCAATCCGCAAAGGTTTGCAAGGCCGCACTCCAAAATTCAAGTATTAGATCGAATCAGAATCAAAACATATCACACCGTCTGAACCCTGGGCCTTTTAGAAGGACCCGCGGCCCCACAACGACGTTGTGCCCTGCCGATCACGCCGCTGATGAACGCCAAGTCGGTGGCTCCAGAAAAGGTATGAACATCATTGGTCACCCGCCGCATCACTGCATCGCTGTACCGAGCCATCTGGAGCAGCACCTGGGCCTGGGCTAGATTTACATCCGAAGTTCAGGCCAAACTCAAGCCCAACGGCCTATCTTGTTTGGGCAACTTAGGCAAAGTGAAAGTGGCTCCCCCACCTTGTAATCACCAACGGGGCCAAGAGCGCCCCTCTGCAAAAGCAGCTCGCCCACGTACTTGCGCATCTCAGCCACAGTTGGCGGCGCTTGCGGTGCATCAACCATGGCGTTTTTCAGCACGGACTGAGGTGCCGGCCAGCGCCCACGAAACCCACAGCCCGGTTTTAAGGCCAGAGTTCGAAGGAAAAGCTGTAGAAGACCACTGACTGAAGCTTAAGCTGAAGATCCCTCGAGAGAAAAGAACAAAACAAGTGGATGCCACGGCTAAACCTTATATAACTTATATGTTGGCATGCTCTGTGGCTTGTTTCTGTGTGACTACTCACAGGGGCTTGGGAACTATTGCAAGAATTTGGTACATTCTTGGGAACTATATGCAGCCGTGTCTGTGAATAGTTGGAAGCCGTTCCGAACCATCAGAACTGTTTCGATGTGTCCTGCCTAGCACACCTGAAAACCCGAACACGCCAAAGAGATCCAACACTAGCGAGCTGGTGTTTTTCCTGCCGAGCTGCGCCGAGCTGCCATCGGTCTATAGACTTCCAACACGTCCCTGGGTGGCATTTTAGTCCATTGTATCCAGCTCAGAGACCCGTTCATATTTGTTCGGAGGGCTCTTGGGACTCAGAACTGTGGCTATGCACATTGCATCTTGGAAGACACAGATTATGTCACCCACCATGGCATCAGTCTCCACTCCATCGTTGCCGTTGATCACATCTAGCTGCTTCTGAAAAGCTGTCCAGCCTTGCTTCAGATACACAAGAAGCCGCTTGGGATTGTCTCGCAACATAAGCCTTTCGCAGGAGAAACCTTCAGGCGTTGCAGGTAGGCCAGTTTGGACATAATAAAGATCATCCCACCAGCCCCAGCCTCGACCCACGTGATGTCTCAGTGATGTTAGCGCGTCGATCAGAGTTATGATGGCTACACGACCACGGTCCGCATAAAGTGCCGTGTACCGGAGCAGATTCAAGAGAGACTCCAACATGCTCACCCCCGAACACAGTCCAGAGTTGGTTCTTGTCACCGATCCGGATCAGGATGCAAGCAGCCCAGATCTGGACCAACACGACATCAACGACGTTCGATTGATCCATGGCAGAAAATTATACTTCTAGATGCACACTGATACTGTAGCTTGCACAACATCATCACTGCCAAGCAGTCTTTATAATTTGGTTCATGTCCAGATCGAAATCCTTTAGCAGGACTTGAGGTACATGTGTTTTGCATTTGGGTACCACATGTGTATTGCAACACACAGAAGTCGAAATACTGCAGAAAAAGCCCTGATCTCATACATGTGAAAACCCCAAAGAGATCCTGAGATCCGAACTAAGGTTCTGATTTCCACTGCAGGCAGGACACAAATCCCATTTTCCACAAACCAGAAGCTACTCTAACTTAGGGGCGTAGGCTCAGCACTCCAGGGTCCGAGCGATCTCAAATGGCCGTGCAGAAGGCGAAGAGATCTGAGAGGAGCGGTGGTCCGGGAATGGGGCTGGGCTGGGCCAGGCTGGGCCCGGCTGTGGCTGCAGGACATTCTAGAATCTAGGGACAGCGCAAGGCAAGGCACGCATGCACTCCAAAACCAAAAACCCAGACCCTTCCAAAACCAAAAAAAAAACGGCAAACGCCCTGAGGCTCAGCACGGCGGGCTGGCGGCAGCGAAGAAGACCAGGCCTGCTTTAGGGTTTGGGGTTCAGGGGGGTTCAATGGCCAACGGTTTGGAGTTTCCGGTGTAGGGTTTGGGGCTGAAGGGTTCAGAGACTAGGGTTTGGGGTTTGGGTTTTAACAACAGTGTTTAATCGAGCAACTTCGTTAGCACCCTACCAAAGCCCCCACGACAACCACCCCGAAAACCGACACCCGAAATCTCAACCCTGGAAACCCTAATCTAGAAGCGCAGGTGCATCGCGATCACTCGGGATGACTTCGTTTTCGCTCGCCAGCCCTCAGCTCGGCGAAGTGAAACTGCACGATGACGATGAGGTCAGAGAGACACTTCCATCGACTCGGCAACTGGTGGTCCAGAGCTCAGCCCGGCCAGCACGCCCTCGACAAAAATGTTCTGCCTCGGCTCGCTTCTAAAAATCTTTGCCGACAACCGGTCTTCTGGGGACCGAGCTCGCGCTCGCTCAGTCCTGCCCACCACTTCAACTTCTGGTCCACCATGATCTCGCGGAAGCCGTCCGGAGCTTTCACTATGATGACCCGCTTCTCTGAGCGCTGGGGCCGCTCCATGGCCTAGGCGCCGCAACGCTGAGGAAGCGAACCCCCATCGAAGGCTGCACTCGGAGGTCGAAGCGAGAGGTCGAAAACGGCAGGGTCTGGACCTGGGCGCGGAGGGGCGCAGACGACACCGAAGGGAAGGCTGCACTCCGAGGTAAGAGGCGGTGCAAAGGACAGCGCCGCGAACTTTGAGAATCTACCTGCACTCCTAGGGACGGTCCTACGGTCCTACAGCAAGGCTGCACTGCGGGGTCCCGGCCAGCGAAGCGATGAGGTCGGACCTGGAGCGGGGGGGAGCGGAGGAGGGAACGGGGAGAAGGGAGCGGGGAAGAGCAAGGCACTACCTGGTAGCCTCAGAGCCCCTACAGCCTTCCAACCGAAACCCCCAAAAAAACAGAACGGCCGGGGGACCCTGGGAGTGCGCATCTGCCGTGATTTGCGCGCGAGTCTTTCGAAAAAACCAAAAAAACCAAAGAAACAAAAAAAAACAAAAAAAACCAAAGAAACCAAAAACACCCAAAAAAAACAAAAAAAACAAAAAAACAAAGATCTGACACTCTCCGGCCATGGACACCTCAGTCCAGGAGCCTCTGATAATTGGTGTTTTTTGTTTCTTTGGTTTCTTTCTTTTTTTTTTTTTTGGTTTTTTGGTTTCTTTGTTTTTTTGGTTTTGTTGTTTTTTTTTGGTTTCTTTTTTTTTTTTAGTTTTTTTTGTTTTTTGGTTTTTTCGGAAGACTCGCGCGTAAATCACGGCAGATGCGCACTCCCAGGGACATAACGTAGCATGGCCAATGTATACGACTAGATAGCAGTGCGAAATACCACACTTGCACATCAGCACTTTTTGTTCTCAGGATGATGAGAAGCTTTGTGGGTATGCGAGGCGCATCAAAACTACAGCGACGTCACCTTGAGTGCAGACTTCATATCGTACACACACAAGCAAACACTGCATAGTTCTATATGGATTGCTATTTGGGTATCCCTGCTTGACTTCATATAGAGACTTATAAACAATAAGATAACATATAATCAAGGTTATGAACATCGACAATAGCGAGCCAGTATCGTAATAACGAACATGAGATTAAAGATAAAACTTCTATTAGTATCCAATGACAGTCTTCAAACTTAGAAAAGAATTTTCTTATACAATAACGTTATGACACACAAAAAAATACTTATACAAACAAATGAAATAAGCTAGATTCATTAATTATGCCTTCGTCATTCTTGTAGGCTACTCGGTGCCTGCGTGATATAGCGATCAATTATCTGTCGAACTCCGCTTGTTTTACAGTAACTACCATTTTTAGTGTTAATACGAGGAGTATTAAATGGGTCTCTGAAATATATAGGTAGATACCGATTCGCCGATAATGACTTTTTGTGCTTATTTTTTTAACAAAACAAAGATGAAGTGCACAGTACTGGTGATTATATTGTTGTAAATTGGTATAGTTAGTCAATCTTATTTCAATCTCACATAGGCTCTTCTTAGTATACTAGAAAACTTGGATGTGTATAGATACCTGTGCTTGGGAAATATGTAAGTATGCATGTGTGCTATGTATATATATATATATAGGTATATATAGGTATATATACGTGAATATATATGAGTACCTATTTTTGAAATGCATGTGTAAACTGTGTTGATATAAAATATATAATACTGGTACTGTTCTATGCGAGACCTTGTTTTCTTTCGTAAGTAAAAACTGAAGGCATAATTAGTGAATCTAGTTTATTTCGTTTGTTTGAATAATTATTTATTTGTTTATCATAACGTTCTTGTATAAGAGAAATATTTGCTAATTTTAAACATCGTAATTGGATACTAATAGAAGTTTTATCTTTAATCTCATGTTCGTTATTGCGATACTGGTTCGTTATTGTCGATTTTCATAATCTTGATTATATGTTATCTTATTGTATATAAATCTCTATATGAAGTCAACTATTTGGAAGACCTAGGCTTTCCTAAATGGGTGCATATCTATATATTGTATTGGCCAACAACTCTATAATCTTAAAGAACATATTATGCTTGTATGATAAATTATATTTCGTTCTTGTTAGAGGATTTGTTCATTGATTTATATGTTTAACTTGTCCACATATCAATATGCTTTCTATATTTCGATTATTCTTCCGAATATGATTATAAATAAAAACATGATAGATACATGTATGTGCCACTTTACAGCGCATTTGTTGCTGGTAATCCAATATGCTTTCTATATTCCGATTATTCTTCTGAGTATGGCTATAATTAAAACATGATAAATACATGTATGTGCCACTTTACAACGCAATTTTTGCTGGTAGTCTATAGAATATCGGTTTGGTGTGTATTGAAAAGTTTCGCATATCTAGTGCTATTGTTGTCTATATTTGGATTGAATATTCGGTTATTATCTTAAAATGTATTGATAAGAGTATTAATGCAAAAGGCATGGTTGGTGATAATAATAAGAATATAATCAAATAAAATATCATTTATAGATCAGAAGTTTGTACTACATCTAGAAGCATGCTCCACACACAGATATGTGTTTGTAACTATGTATGAATAGTGAAAAGTCGGCATTTGTCGATTAATGTAAGGCACTTTATATATATATATATATATATATATATATATATATATATATTCATATGTATATGTATATGTATATATATATATATATATAATTGCATATGCCGAGCTCTCTATTATGCAAAATGTCACACATACATCTGAGGGTATATACATACATACATACATACATACATACATACATACATATATATATATACATATATATCCGTATATGTATATGGATATATATATATATATATAGACATATGTATATACATTTATCCGTATATCTTTTTTCTGCATATATATATATATGCGCATGACAGCCTCATCGAATGTAAGTGCGCCATCCCGCCCTGCAAGTTCACGAAGCAAACCTGGTATATCATCACCACGAAACTCCGACATGGCTTCAGAGATACGAAACGAGAGAACCAAGAAAGACTGTTTGAGCTTCCGTAGCAACGATATAACAGCTTGCGAACGAGAAAGAAAGAATGTCGGTTGTGTACTCATACCTTGGTATACATGTGTGTAAAAAAAGTTTAATGAATGCTTGTTTAAGTATGTGTGCGTGTGCCTGTATCCTATTCTCGCAGGTGGTTCATTAGGTGGCTCGACAATGCGATACTTAGATTTTGTGGAAAAAAGTGCACTCCCACAGCCCCCCGGACTCCAAAAAAACCCAGAAGCCTCACCTACCTGCACTCCTAGGGTTCAGCCAGAAACCCCGAACCCTTGTAAAACGATCCTACCTCGACTCCTAGGGCGACACCTACAACTGCACTCCGAGGTCCTGGCGCGCACCGCCCACCACACCCTCCCCGACTTGGCCCGACTTGAAAGGTAAAGCTGCGGCGGAGGAAAAAAGGTTGGGGGCAGGGCAGCCGGAGGGTTCAGAGTTTCGGATCCCCCCAAATTGTGGTCCTTAACCTCCAAACCTTGAACCCCTACCCCGAAACCCCAAACCCTAAGCCCTACCAAACCGTATGCCTAAGCCCCTAAACCCCCGAGCCCTAAACCCGAATATACCGGCCTGGTTTCTCTCCACCGGCTGCAAAGGGCCAGCGGGCATCATCGTCCTCTTCAGAACTCGGCTTCCAAGGGTTTAGCTTTGTGGCTTAGGTTTAGGGTTTAGGTTTCGGCTTGCCCTGAACCCTGAAATGCACTGA